CAGTATGGTTCTTATTGTCTTGAAACAGAAACTCATCTGTCATTGGGTTTAATGTCAGTTTTAAGTTTCCTTCTTTCATGACTCAGATATCTTAGAATAGTTTGAAAAGTTTGTTGTGTTCTTATTTAGAGCTTGCATAATGAGTTGTCGGTTGTGTTGTATTTCTCTCATAGACGCTGTTTCATTTGACATTTTTATTCTAGATAAAATATGCTTCCAATAGAAAAAGAAAATTCAAGAGTTGCTACAACTAAACCATTAGATGAACTTTTTACGAATGTCGGTCAAAAGTTTGAGACAGAGACCGTAAAGCATGAAGGCTATCGTTTGACTACCCACTAAGATGGTTAAGAGACCCATCCGTCACAAAAGCTATTGGCTTTCGTAGAATGAAGTTCATTTCAGAAGCCATACATGGTTTCCCATTTACAGTCGGTTTTGAAGTTCGATACTATAACAAAGAAAACGTATGTATGAGAAATTTGAACAGGGAAAACTTTTACAAGTGAATTTGCTTGTAAACTTAGAAACAACTCTTCAAGCTTTTCAAGAAAAAATAAACGATATCTATCTCGAATATGCAAAACAGTACAACATTGACGAAGGAGAGTACCATCTCGATATTTTATATGACAGGAAAAATGCAACTGTTAAAATCAATAGAATAGAAGACCTTGGAGAAAACGTTTATATTTCTACAAAAATATAACAATTGGCATGGTATAGATTTATGAGGATGTTAAATCAGCCTGCAGCATATCCAGTACACCCAGACTTTTATGAAGTCGAAAACCCTAATGGAACATATGAAAATGTTTTCGACCCAGCTGCTATTATTGTTCATGCTTCATTTTCTGGCGCCCAAAACTCTTTCTTATGCTTGGCAAATGACTTTTACGAAAAACCTACAAAGTTATACGAACCACCAAGTGGAAGTATTTCAGACTTTCAAGTATGGTTTACTACAGATGGAAGAAAAAGAATAATTCCATTATACCATGCGTTTTACTTAGAACTTAGTTTCATATACAACTACTATCGAACGGTAAAAAATATAATTTTTTAATACGGTTGAAGGTGTTGGATTTGGTTGCCAACTAGACTGTGGTGCAGGTTCAGCTGTTGTATAACAGGAGCTTCTTCTTCTGGTTCAGGGTCTTTAGGTATAATACCAACGAACTGACCTACTCTTTTACCAATATTTTTGACTCCGTTCCAAATTCCTCTCCTACGGTTTTTATTCCATTCCAATATACCTCTTCCAACATTTCGAAAGAAGTTTCAATACTACTGAAGAAACCCATTTTACTATATGTAAAAATCTAATGTCCACCTAGTCTCTTACGTTTCCTGTTGAGTTCCATAGCATTCTTTAACTGGAGCTCATACATTCTGTTTCTCCTCTGGTAGAAAACATATTCTGGGTCAACTCCTGTGTTCGCGTCATCTGCATAAAGTTGTTTATATCCCACTTCAGGGTTTGTATAAAACTCTTTCCATCTCATATTTGCATACCATGGTGGCAAACCTAACGCAGCGTCATTTGACATGGCAGTTTGCATTTGTACATCTGTTGGCACTTGACCATAGTTTGCCATTGCAGTTTGTATTCTAACTTCATTTGGAATATTTCTCGAGTTTGGTTGTCCAGGTTGCTGTGCATTCGCTAAGTTCTGTGCGTCCATTTAATATTAGATAAAAATATCTCTTACGAGTACATATGCTGAACATTTGCAGGCATTGGTTCATCTTCATATTCTCTGTAACTTTTCCCACGTCAAATAAATAAATGACACAATGGAAAAAACCAAAACAAGTAGTCCTATTTCAAACCACATTTACTTACTAGTAAAATTTCTTTGTTATGACACTTTCTCCGGTTTATAGACCTCTCTCATATTCTATCTTGTCATATCTAAACTCATAGTCATGTATGTCCTCTAACCATCTCATAACGGTTTCCAAACCACTTTTATCGGATGTAAAGTAAAAGCATGGACAGTTATGTAAAACGTCTAAAGTTTCTAAAGAGTCTCTCAAAGTCCAGTCTACTTGGTATTGAAAATCGCATGTGTTATAGAACGGCGGGTCCACTATAAAGAAAACATTTTCCTTGTCTTTATATTTTTCATACAACTCTGTCCAATGACATCTCACAAACTCTATACCCTCAATATATTTTTCTATGTCCTCTTTGAAAACATTTGTATAGTTAAGATATAAAACTTTTGACATAAGTGTTTCAATGTCATGAACTCTTATAGAACCACTATATAATAGTCTAGCAGATATACTATCCCAGTCTATATATTCTGCTTTTTCAAAACCTCTCTCACAATATTTTTCTTATCTAATGGTATACGTTCCATCTTACCTATAGGTATCTTTTCTTTTAACTCTTTCAATATATTGTTTGTGTCTGGTATATGTTTGAGACGGTCCATATAGTTGTCGAAGTCATTGCATATAATCTTTGAGTCTGGGAATATTGTATGGCACAAATGGGATATATAGAAACTTCCACCGAACAAATCTACAAATGTTAGACCATTCGGTAGTTTCTTAAGTTCTCTCAATATAATATCTTTACATTTACTCTTATTTCCAAAGAACGGTAACGGTGGTTTTGTAAAATTCATTTATATATAATAATAAAAATGTTTTTACCTGAAAAGTGACAGAAAAGTGACAAAGCATAAAAAATATATAATTTTGAAAAGCGACACATTATATAATGTTTTCGACCCAGAAGACTAACAATTTTCCGAATAAAAACTTCATTTATACTAAACATCTTCAGGGCTAGAAGGCACGAAGTGCCTGGAAGCCCCACTACCTTTTTTTTTTTTTTTTTTTTTTTTTTTTTTTTTTATTTAAGTTGGCGTATCTTACGCCCTTCCAAAAATATGTATTAGAAAGATGACTTATAATTTCATAAATTATTTTGTCCCGACGGTTTGAGCTGTTATCAGAATGGTTGCTTACACAATGCGTCAGCAAAATGTCGGTTGGGGTGCCCTTCTTGGCCTCCTGAGTACTCACCAAGATACCCCCAGCTCCCGCAAAACACCTCCCTTAGGTGCGCATTACCTGACGGCATTATTTTGCAATTATTTCAAATTTTTTAGATGTCTTTTGTTAAAGTTTGTTAACTAAAGACTTGAAAACAGCTTACCGCTTCAAGCTGCTCTCTTCCCGGTTCCTCTGCCGCAATCTTCTGTTTGATTGTGCGCAAAGCTCTCCTCCTTGTGAACTTTGCCTGACAGATACACCTGGGAGACAGCATTCGGACATCTTACCGCTTCAAGCTGCTCTCTTCCCGGTTCCTCTGCCGCAATCTTATGTCTGATTGTGCGCAAAGCTCTCCTCCTTGTGAACCATGGCTGATAGAAAGAACTGAAAGACAGGATAGGAGGAACATGCCGGTTCAAGTTAACTTGCAATATGCTTCTGATTAGTGATTTTAGATGAAAGATTAGCGAAATCGCATTTAATTTGGATAGAAGGATTCAATTTTATGAAGCAGGCTCGTAGAAAATATGCAGGAATAGCACAATCTTTTGCAATCACAACGCGATTGCAAAACTTCGACCGACAAGAGTGTATTGTGCACTCTTGTCGGTCTGCATGTCTCATTCCGGGAGACATTGTCACTGCATGTCTCCCAGAATGAGACAATCTTCCGCATTCATAACTTGAATGCGGAAGTTTGACCGACAAGAGTGCACAATACACTCTTGTCGATCTAAATGTATCTTACAATCAAAGACACTTTCATACAATCTTTTCGAAGTTAAAAAAAAAATTAATTATTTCTTTCTTTTGTTTATTAAATCGCCTTACTCACGTACTAATCTCTTTTAGAGACTCTATCGAGCTATCCCCACATATAAACCTGTGACAATAATACATATTTACTCTCTTCATATTCTGATCTCATGACACATTATCGCAAAAACTATAATTATACAACACATCTCATAAAGTCTCATTTTAGCCCTATCTAAGCGTTCAAAACCTATTTTCCACACGTAATCTGATTCTTCTGGCTCCGCTGATTCGATTTCTGCTGTCAAATTTATGAGGAGACAATTTGAAAAAAAAAGCAATAAATATTAATTAAAAATAAGTTTTCCATTGGCAATAACTACATGAATTTATGATTGTAGACTTCATTTAAGCGCATGATTTTGAATTTTTAGATATGTAAAATCAGAATGACAAAATAATACAAAAATTGGCCCAATATTAATGAACCGCATTTGAAAACCAATATCAAGAAGAATATATTGGAAACAGTTTGATTTTTTCAAAGTGCATTTAATTATTAATCCTCCTCAAAGAAATTCAATTTTTAAACATTCTTGGATTTATATGTCTTTATGCAATTAAAAGAAAATTTATATCATAAGGAGGATAAAAATATTCAAAATAAAAGAAAACAAAACCCTCTTTTATCATCAAATATGGAAGCTGATGAGTCTTTTCCCCATAGTAATCGATATACATTATTTATTGCTTGTATTTATAATATCCTTATGCTTTGTTTTGCAATTTCGGTAAATTTTTCAGAGTTTTTCAATGTAATAGGAATAATAACGATCTTACATCCTGTCCAGAAATTTCAAATCAAAGAGGAATTTACGATTTCAAAAGAGATTAAAGCATTTGAGTGTAAAAATATAGCAGAAATGAAAGAACTGAATTTTATTAGTCCATATGCTGACAATAAACTTGTCATGTTAATTGGAAAAGGTAGAATTTATGATGTTTTATTTTGTTTTTCAGCAGCTGCCCGAGAATTTACAACTTATTATCATTTCCAGCATGTTTTAGTTACAAGTCAAGGAATTTTCACAGATGATTCTTTTCTCATATTCCCATGGGCCAAGAAAACATATAGTAAATCAAGAATCACTAATTCTCATAGAGAAATCGATCATTTAATACTTGGATCAATTCATTTTGGTCCTTGGGGCCATTTTATAAGTGACTCACCTATGGCAGGTTTACTATACCTTCCAAAAGATATTGTTAAGAAGTCAAAGCTTGCAATAATGGGTAATCAAGGGTATGTTAGAAGAAACTTGGATGAACTTGGATTCCAAGATGTTCCATTACATCATTTATCATGGAGTTTTGAACTCGTCCACAATTTATACGTCTTATCACCCCAAGATCGGCCGAATGGGCAAGTTCATTTCAATTGTGAATTAAGAGATCACATTTTCAAATTATATAATTTATCAGATATCATTCCTAATTATGGTGTCATTACAAATAGACCATATGGAAGAGCAAGACATGTAACTAATATCCAAGAACTCATAGTTGTTGTAAAAAATCATTTCATGAATATAAGATGGGAGTTTCATGATGATTCACAATTAGGTTCGATAAAATCATGTGTTCAAGTATTGGCAGGAGCAAAATATTTTATAACTCCACCTGGTTCATCTGGATTTAAAGCAATGATGATGAAAGAAAAAACAGGAATCTATTTTATAGGATCGAATTTTGAAGATTGGGCAAATATTGGATTTTGCCAATCGTTAGGAATTTGGGCAGTTTATAATAAGAACATGAATCTTGGACATATTGGATCACCAGCTGCAATTGATATTGAATCAAACTTCAAATATATAAAGCTTTTAATTGAGACAGTTGATAAGCAAAAATGGCCTAGTTATGCAAATGATATTCCTGATTCTGAATTTATGATTGATTTATCTGTTATTAAGAAGATATTAGAAATTGACAACAGAGTTAGTATTCTTCATAATTGTAATGTAACAGAATTCTATGAGAAAGTTAAATCTGATCCAAGCCATAATAAATTCTGTGGAGATAATATATATTACTCCGAATTGAATGATTTGTATTAATTAAATACACTTTTGTTGTTAATATAAATTTTTAGGGTTGTACAAACTGGCACGCCTGCTGGCACACCTTTTTTGGCCAGCTGGCACGATTTTTTTAAAAACCACATTAAAAAAGTCACTTTTTGCCCCATCTAATGAGATTTTTTTTTACAATTTTTTTCCCCTTATTTTTCAATTTAGATATGATTTTAAGCTCTCCAAATTGAAGTTTACCTGATGTTTCTTAGTTTTTATGATAATAAAATGTTGCAAAGTTAAGTTTGGATTCAATAAATTTAAGAAAATTTTATTTTACAATGAAATTATAAGAAAGGATATTTTTATCCTATGTCAAAGAGAATACATTTGTAGATCCCGACTTTTGACATGATTGAAAATTCCAAAAAAAATTCAAAATTTAAAAAAAAAATTAAAAAATATAAATTTCATGTTAAAAAATGATTTTTGAAATTTTTTTGGAAAAATAGAATGTCATATTTTTATGTTTTATTGCTATTTTTTACGAAATCAATAAAATATTTGTTAATTTGGCTGAGATTATAAATAAAATCTTTCTAAATCTTGCAATTGATTGCTAAAATCTGTTTTATGTATTAATTGGCATTGAGATTCGTTATAAAAGAATGCGAATTATTTTGTATGAGTAAACGTATTTTGTAAAATTTCAAATTCTCTTCTCTCATTACTTACCTTAGATCTCTCGGCTTTCAGCTCTCAGATTTCGCTCATAGAACTCAGGTTTTAGTTATGTACTCATAGATGTATCATTACTGCCCGCAGATCTCTCATTACTACCTTACTAACCAGATCTTAACTCTCATTACTACCTTACTAACCAGATCTTAACTCTCATTACTACCTTACTAACCAGATCTTAACTCTCATTACTACCTTACTAACCAGATCTTAACTCTCATTACTACCTTACTAACCAGATCTTAACTCTCATTACTACCTTACTAACCAGATCTTAACTCTCATTACTACCTTACTAACCAGATCTTAACTCTCATTACTACCTTACTAACCAGATCTTAACTCTCATTACTACCTTACTAACCAGATCTTAACTCTCATTACTACCTTACTAACCAGATCTTAACTCTCATTACTACCTTACTAACCAGATCTTAACTCTCATTACTACCTTACTAACCAGATCTTAACTCTCATTACTACCTTACTAACCAGATCTTAACTCTCATTACTACCTTACTAACCAGATCTTAACTCTCATTACTACCTTACTAACCAGATCTTAACTCTCATTACTACCTTACTAACCAGATCTTAACTCTCATTACTACCTTACTAACCAGATCTTAACTCTCATTACTACCTTACTAACCAGATCTTAACTCTCATTACTACCTTACTAACCAGATCTTAACTCTCATTACTACCTTACTAACCAGATCTTAACTCTCATTACTACCTTACTAACCAGATCTTAACTCTCATTACTACCTTACTAACCAGATCTTAACTCTCATTACTACCTTACTAACCAGATCTTAACTCTCATTACTACCTTACTAACCAGATCTTAACTCTCATTACTACCTTACTAACCAGATCTTAACTCTCATTACTACCTTACTAACCAGATCTTAACTCTCATTACTACCTTACTAACCAGATCTTAACTCTCATTACTACCTTACTAACCAGATCTTAACTCTCATTACTACCTTACTAACCAGATCTTAACTCTCATTACTACCTTACTAACCAGATCTTAACTCTCATTACTACCTTACTAACCAGATCTTAACTCTCATTACTACCTTACTAACCAGATCTTAACTCTCATTACTACCTTACTAACCAGATCTTAACTCTCATTACTACCTTACTAACCAGATCTTAACTCTCATTACTACCTTACTAACCAGATCTTAACTCTCATTACTACCTTACTAACCAGATCTTAACTCTCATTACTACCTTACTAACCAGATCTTAACTCTCATTACTACCTTACTAACCAGATCTTAACTCTCATTACTACCTTACTAACCAGATCTTAACTCTCATTACTACCTTACTAACCAGATCTTAACTCTCATTACTACCTTACTAACCAGATCTTAACTCTCATTACTACCTTACTAACCAGATCTTAACTCTCATTACTACCTTACTAACCAGATCTTAACTCTCATTACTACCTTACTAACCAGATCTTAACTCTCATTACTACCTTACTAACCAGATCTTAACTCTCATTACTACCTTACTAACCAGATCTTAACTCTCATTACTACCTTACTAACCAGATCTTAACTCTCATTACTACCTTACTAACCAGATCTTAACTCTCATTACTACCTTACTAACCAGATCTTAACTCTCATTACTACCTTACTAACCAGATCTTAACTCTCATTACTACCTTACTAACCAGATCTTAACTCTCATTACTACCTTACTAACCAGATCTTAACTCTCATTACTACCTTACTAACCAGATCTTAACTCTCATTACTACCTTACTAACCAGATCTTAACTCTCATTACTACCTTACTAACCAGATATCTAATTATTTACATATGATTTCTCACATCTCACTCAAGTCTCATTACTTACCCTATCTTTTTAACCTTTTCTGATAATTACTGAAATAACTAAATCCTTTTTTTAGTTTAATTCTGATATTAAATTTTTAAAATCTCTTTAATTTTTTGAACTACGCCTTTAATTTGTAATTGCCGATTTCACAGATTTGAACCATTTAATAAAATAACATTATTCAACTTAATCATATCAAACATGGTAGTTTGATTTTCAGATCTACATTTTAAAAACCTCTTTATTATCCTGAGTTATACTTTAAAAAAAAAAAAAAAAAAAAAAAAAAAAAAAAAAGGTAGTGGGGCTCCCAGGCACTTCGTGCCTTCTAGCCCTGAGGATGTTTTGTCAAGACTTCTTCGTAAATGTTTTGTCAAGACTTCTTCGTAAATGTTTTGTCAAGACTTCTTCATCGTAAATGTTTTGTCAAGACTTCTTCGTAAAGACTTTGTCAAGACTTCTTCGTAAATGTTTTGTCAAGACTTCTTCGTAAAGACTTTGTCAAGACTTCTTCTTCGTAAATGTTTTGTCAAGACTTCTTCTTCGTAAATGTTTTGTCAAGACTTCTTCGTAAAATCAGACAAAAATAATGTTTATGTTAGAATGTTAGATCTAACACGTTTTCTAACATGTTTTCTAACATCGTAGAAAACTCATGAATTTCTTCGTAAATGTTTTGTCAAGACTTCTTCATAAAGACTTTGTTGAGATTTCTTCATAAATGTTTTGTCAAGACTTCTTCATCGTAAATGTTTTGTCAAGACTTCTTCATCGTAAATGTTTTGTCAAGACTTCTTCATCGTAAAATCAGACAAAAATAATGTTTATGTTAGGTGTTAGATCTAACACGTTTTCTAACATGTTTCTAACATCGTAGAAAAACTCATGATTTCATCGTAAAGTTCTTCATCGTAAAGACTTTGTAAAGTCTTTCTCATGAACTTTCTTGTCAATGTTTTGTTGAGACTTTGTAAAGTTCTTCATCGTAAAGACTTTGTAAAGAAAGTTCATGAAAATTCATGAGGTTAGAAAACATGTTAGAAAACATGTTAGATCTAACATTCTAACATAAAATATATTTTTGCTGAATTCCGTATGAAATTTCATGAGTTTTGTATGTTTTAGACCATGTTAGAAAACATGTTAGAAAACATGTTAGATCTAACATTCTAACATAAAATATATTTTTGGGTCATTTACACTCATTTACGATGAAGAAGTCTTAACAAAGTCTTTACGAAGAAGTCACAACAAAACATCTGTCAAAAACCTTAACCGAGTAGTTTTCATGTTTTGTCACTTTTCTGTCACTTTTCAGGTAAAAACATTTTTATTATATATATATAAAATGAATTTTACAAAACCACCGTTACCCTTCTTTGGAAATAAGAGTAGATGTAAAGATATTCTATTGAGAGAACTTAAGAAACTACCGAATGGTCTAACATTTGTAGATTTGTTCGGTGGAAGTTTCTATATATCCCATTTGTGCCATACTGTATTTCCTGACTCAAAGATTATATGCAATGACTTCGACAACTATATGAACCGTCTCAAACATATTCCAGACACAAACAAAATATTGAAAGAGTTAAAAGAAAAGATACCTATAGGTAAGATGGAACGTATACCATTAGATAAGAAAAATATTGTGAGAGAGGTTTTGAAAAAGGCAGAGTATATTGACTGGGATAGTATATCTGCTAGACTATTATATAGTGGTGCTATAAGAGTTCATGACATTGAAACACTTATGTCAAAAGTTTTATATCTTAACTATACAAATGTTTTCAAAGAGAACATAGAAAAATATATTGAGGGTATAGAGTTTGTGAGATGTCATTGGACAGAGTTGTATGAAAAATATAAAGACAAGGAAAATGTTTTCTTTATAGTAGACCCACCGTTCTATAACACATACGATTTTCAATACCAAGTAGACTGGACTTTGAGAGACTCTTTAGAAACTTTAGACGTTTTACATAACCATCCATGCTTTTACTTTACATCCGATAAAAGTGGTTTGGAAAGTGTCATGAGATGGTTAGAGGACATACATGACTATGAGTTTAGATACGATAAGATAGAATATGAGAGAGGTCCTATAAACTGGAGAAAGTGTCATAACAAAGAAATTTTACTAGTAAGTAAATGTGGTTTGAAATAGGACTACTTGTTTTAGGTTTTTTTCCATTGTGTCATTTACTTATTTGACGTGGCAGAAAGATATAGAGAATATGAAGATGAACCAATGCCAGCAAATGTTCAGTATATGTACTCGTAAGAGATATTTTTATCTAATATTAAATGGACGCACAGAACTTAGCGAATGCACAGCAACCTGGACAACCAAACCCAGAGAATATTCCAAATGAAGTTAGAATACAAACTGCAATGGCAAACTATGGTCAAGTGCCAACAGATGTACAAATGCAAACTGCCATGTCAAATGACGCTGCGTTAGGCTTACCACCATGGTATGCAAATATGAGATGGAAAGAGTTTTATACAAACCCTGAAGTGGGATATAAACAACTCTATGCAGATGACGCGAACACAGGAGTTGACCCGGAATATGTTTTCTACCAGAGGAGAAATAGAATGTATGAGCTCCAGTTAAAGAATGCAATGGAACTCAACAGGAAACGTAAGAGACTAGGCGGACATTAGATTTTTACATATAGTAAAATGGGTTTCTTCAGTAGTATTGGAAACTTCTTTCGAAATGTTGGAAGAGGTATATGGAATGGAATAAAATCTGTCGGAAGAGGAATTTGGAACGGTGTCAAAAATATTGGTAAAAGAGTAGGTCAGTTCGTTGGTATTATACCCAAAGACCCTGAACCAGAAGAGCAAGCTCCTGTTATACAACAGCCTGAACCTGCACCACAGTCTAGTTGGCAACCAAATCCAACACCTCAACCGTATTAAAAAATTATATTTTTACCGTTCGATAGTAGTTGTATATGAGACTAAGTTCTAAGTAAAACGCGTGGTATAATGGAACTATTCTCTTTCTTCCATCTGTAGTAAACCATACTTGAAAGTCTGAAATACTTCCACTTGGTGGTTCATATAGCTTTGTAGGTTTTTCGTAAAAGTCATTTGCCAAGCATAAAAAAGAGTTTTGTCACCAGAAAATGAAGCATGAACGATAATAGCATCTGAGTCGAAAACATTTTCATATGTTCCATTAGGGTTTTCGACTTCATAAAAGTTCGGGTGTACTGGATATTCTGCAGGCTGATTTAACATCCTCAAAAATCTATACCATGCCAAGTTGTTATATTTTGTAGAAATATAAACGTCTTCTCCAAGGTCTTCTATTCTATTGATTTTAACAGTTGCATTTTTCCTGTCATATATAATATCGAGATGGTACTCTCCTTCGTCAATGTTGTACTGTTTTGCATATTCGAGATAGATATCGTTTATTTTTTCTTGAAAAGCTTGAAGAGTTTCTAAGTTTACAAGCAAATTCACTTGTAAAAGTTTTCCCTGTTCAAATTTCTCATACGTACGTTTTTCTTTGTTATAGTATCGAACTTCAAAAGCGACTGTAAATGGAAACCATGTATGGCTTCTGAAATGAACTTCATTCTACGAAAGCCAATAGCTTTTGTGACGGATGGGTCTCTTAACCATCTTAAGGGGTAGTCAAAACGATAGCCTTCATGCTTTACGGTCTCTGTCTCAAACTTTTGACCTACGTTAGTAAAAAGTTCATCTAATGGTTTAGTTGTAGCAACTCTTGAATTTTCTTTTTCTATTGAAAGCATATTTTATCTAGAATAAAAATGTCGAAAGAAACAGCGTCTATGAGAGAAATACAACACAACCGACAACTCATTGTACAAGCTCTAAATAAGAACACAACAAACTTTTCAAACTATTCTAAGATATCTGAGTCATTGAAAGAAGGAAACTTAAAACTGACGATAAACCCATTGACAGACGAGTTTCTGTTTCAAGACAGTAAGAACCATACTGTTTGTATAAATCCAACAAAAAGAACTTTAAACGAGAAACCTATAGATGAACTTCTTTTGAAGGCAGATATTGACAACAAAGCTGACAAAGAGTATGTAGATGCAACAAGAGACTATATTCTCGCATGGACAGATAGAACATACCCACAAAAACATCATACACATAACATCTATGACGTAGATGAACTACCAGAAAAGTTAGATGACAAAGCGGATAAAACATATGTTGACAATAAAATGTCAAGTGAAGTGACAAGAGCTGACAAAGAATATTCTAAAAAGACTCATACACATACCATATCTGATATTACAAACTTACAAGAAACCTTAAACAAGAAAAGTGACGTTGGACATACACACGATTTCTTCGCAACTGTTGGTATAGAAAATATTGAAGGAACGGTTGAAGAAACTGGTGGGGATGTATTAAATTGGAAACCTCCTAACTTTCCACAAGGTTTAACATCGGAGGATGACATAACGACGATGAAATACATTAGATGTAGAGAAATGTCTATGTCATGAAGGATGAAAACAATGTTAAATTCACTGCTCAAGATTATATGACAACAAAGCTGACAAAACAGAGCTTCAAACGTTAAAGACAGAAATACTTCAAACAGTATATCCTATAGGTTCTATTTACACGTCAATGAACTCTACCAGACCAGAAGTAGTACTTGGTTTTGGAACTTGGACTCAAATAGTCGACAGGTTTTTGTATTGTGCAAACTCTTCAAAGGAAACAGGTGGAAGTAAAACGATTTCAGGTGAAAACCTACCTGCACACAGTCACTACATAGATTTAAGTACATCTCAAGCAGGTTGGCATAAGCATAGATATTGGGATTGGTCAGCAATGACAAAAGGTAAAGGATATGATGTTAAAGACAACGTTAAGTTTGCTATAGATTGTTACTGGAGTAACACTGAGGGAGGAGGAAACCATACACATCGCGTTTCAGGATATACGCAAACAACGGGACAAAGTAAAGAATACATGCCACCTTACATGACAGTTTACGCATGGTATAGAAATGCTTAGTCGTCATTTTCAACTTCTTTAGCATATTCGTCAGGAGTTGTCTTATATTTGTTAGGAACTGTCTTTGAAAGTATACCACCTTGAACTTTGACAAGTTTGAAACGAGGTCTGACAATAGTAGTTTTATCTTCTGCTTGCAGTCTGTACATTTTGCCATGTTTGCCTAAAACTTCATAATATTCTCTTGTATACTTTCTTCTATTTTTACGAACACGAATGCGAGTACCTGTCGAGTTCCCATTGTTGTCATAGTCAATAGTATTTTCATATGGGTCGCGTTTAGGTATTTCTATTTTTACTTTGTCACCTTTCTGAAGTTTGAAGCCTGGCATTCTTTCTTGTTTGTCTCTTTTGACTAAACTATTAAATATATAGTCTTTCTCTAAGTCAGGGTTGTTTTTCATTTCTTCGGGGGAGTGGTTTCCCAAACCTTTTTGTTTACGGCTATTGTAAATATTTAAAACTTGTCTCATCTTTGCCATGGAGAAATGTCTATACTTGTCGTCATATGACATTTCATCTACCTCACCACCTTGTGGTTGATTTAAGTCTCTTAAGATTTTTATACAACTGTCAATGACACCAAGAGCAGAATGGTTTTGGTCGACAATGAAATATTGGTTTACATTTTTTGAACGCAGATAGTTTTTAATATCGTCTGATTTGAAAGAACTTTCACAGTCAGATGTCAGTTTTGTTGGATGGTATTTGTCAACGAATATTGTCAAAGCTGCTAAGATATCTAAAATATTTTTGGACTGTAATGGTATGGCTTCACAGTATCTTGTATTTTGACCGACAAATATTAGCCAGTATGGTGGTCCATCTTCTCTATATCTCGGAATGTTTTCCAAGATATCCATAAACCAAGCATTTGGTGTTGAACTAAAGATTTTTACCATGAGTGCTTTCTTTGTTGCTTTAGAAACATACGGGTCCTTGTTTGGATTCGTCATTTTTATCCTATAAGAAATGGGTTTATTTGGCGCGTTAGCAGGAGTTGCATCTAGATTTTTGCCCGCAGTGGGAACAATAGCCAGAGGTGTATTTGGAGTTGGAAGGAAGATTTTGAGTACTTTAGGTATACTGAAAGAGAAAGCACAACCTATTATACAAACTGTACAGAAAGGTTGGGATGTAGCACGAGATGCAGCAAATCTTATTCCAAATCCTGAAACAAGAGGAAAAGTTCAAGGATGGATGGACAATGTAGGAAGAGAAGCAGGAAACTACTATAACAAAGCAAATGACTACTATAACCAAGCAGGGCACTATATGGACCAAGGTGAAAGATTCTTTAACAGAGGATATAACCATGCACAACAGTGGGTAAACAATAACCAACCGCAACCACCTCAAACTTGGGGAATGTAAAGTTTTTTACTGAGATGAAATGAACAATACAGCATTGAGACAAATGGGTTCAAGATGGATTTGTCGGCTTCCAGCAGTTACACAACGTGTTTGTCAAGTTCTTCCTATACCTCAAGAAGTTTTAGACCGACTTAAAAAACCTAAACAACCAGTTGAAAACAAACCAAACTAAAATTTTTTACTGAGATGAAATGACCGAAGAAGTTGAAACGGTAGATTTGACACCACAAACAAAAAGTTCAGAACCATTGTCAAAACCTGTCAAAGAACTTACAGATGAAGAGAAAAATTCAATAATAGAAAGTGCCAGGTCTGGAAATACAAACCCTAACTACAAAGTCACTTTTCATAGAAATGGAACGGCTAGTATCTCAAAAAAGAAACAGACTCTCACAAATAAAATATTGAAGTCTGAAGGAATTTTCGAGACAACAGATGGAAAAGTTTACTTCACCGATCAACAGTTCATTATAGAACATCTCATTGACTTAGAGTCGAAATATTCTAAACTTTACAACAAACACAAAAAGTTGAAAGGAAAACAAAAACAGATGGCATATGATATTTATGAAGATGTTGACGACACAACTGTTCCTGCAGGTGGGGAAAAGTCAGAGGAACCGAAAAGTGACGAAAAACCGATAGAAGAAGAAAAACCAAAAACTGAAGATAAACCAAAAACAAAGTTTAGTTTCCAAACTAAACCAAGTCAACCTTCATTAGCTGGTATGGGTTGGCGTCAAAGACTTTTGGCAGCGGGTGGTTACGTAAAGTAAAGAGAAAAACATTTTTTTATTTTTATTTGAACTGTACGCTGAGTTTGTTGGAGAAGACCGTTGGGAAACTTGTTTGTTAGATGAGAAATATGAAATGGCATACCATTTAAAACAACATATTTTAAAAAAAATATTTTTTTATTTTATTTGAAATGTACGCTGAGTTTGTTGGAACAGACCGTTGGGAAACTTGTTTGTTAGATGAGAAATATGAAATTCACTGTTGTGAGTCATTTGAAGTCAGAAACAAAAAGACAAAAAGAGTTTTAAGCGAATGGGAGCAAAATGACGGATATGCTAGGATGAGGATTGGTGGAAAACACTATTTTAAACATGTTGTCATTGCAACTCATTTTATACCAAACCCTAACAATCTACCTTTTGTAGACCACATAAACCATATAAGAAACGACAATAGACTTGAAAACTTACGCTGGGTCACTTGTTCTGAAAACAATAAGAACAAAAGCAATTTTCGAGATATAGTATTCGAATTTGTCGACGAACTAGAAGATGAAACAATTGAAATTACAGACTATGGTAAGCATACGTTTGAGTTTTACTACTATAGCGAAGAACAAGACTCTTTCTACTTTTATACCGGCGTAAACTATAGAAAATTACAAGTATGTTTTACTAAGGAAGGCTGTGCTTATGTAAACACTAGAGATACAGATGGAAAAAACGTTAGACTATATCTTAACAAATTCAAGAAGCTATATGGCATACCATTTTAAAACATTTATTTTAAAACAGTATATTTTTACATATATTAAATGTTTCAGGTTGAAAAACAAAGAACAAAAGTAGCAGATACAAAACCGTTAGACTATATCTTTACAAACGCTGGTAGGACTATATCAGATGAAGAAATTTCATCCGGCTCCTACCGCTTTGACTTTCCAATTCGTTGGCTTCAAAGTCCTTCAGATGCAAAGGCAATAGGATTTAGAAGAGTTTTGTTTTCAAAAAGAACTAACGCGTTTATGTTTGCAGTATATTTTCATGGGCGGTATAGAGGTCATGATGGTCTAATAGACAAATTTGACGAAATGAGAATCTTTACAGTTCGTTCAGACGAAAGTCTTGAGAAGACTCTAAATGACTTTCAAACTCAAATAAACAAATACTACTGGGAATTTCAAGAAAAATACGATTCTTTACTAAATGGAACATACTATCTGAAACTAGAATATGACAAGATGAACTCCACAGTTTCATTTCAAAGGATTGAAAATAACCCTCCAAGAGATACACAGTTTTTATTTTGGCAAGTAGACAAACGTTCTTGGGCACAATTTCTTCGGTTACTAAACCAGAACGAACCATTACCACCTGACGGTCCGTTCTGGTTTATACGCCCACCAACAGATTTGACAGTTTATAGAAACGTGTTTGACCCTCAAAATGTCATGTGTCATGCAAGTTTCAGTTCAAGCAACAATAGTTTTCTTTGTATTGGTAAGGACTTTTATGACCTTACCTCTAAATTCTACGAACCACCTAGTAACAGTTTCTCTGACTTTCAAGTTTGGTTCACTACAAACGGTGTGCAACATATTGTTCCATTGTACTACGACTTTTATCTCGAATTGTCTTTCATATATAACTACGGAGAAGTGCTGAAAAAGTATTGAAAAATGAGTTTTGGTTAGATGTTTTTTTTAGGTGTGCCTATGTGCCTATGTGCCTCGGTCAAATGAACTTCTCTTAAAATTACTGACAACACGACATTTTGACAACATCGTAGAAAACACGCAAAACTCTTGAATTTTGTATAAAAAAAGCAACCCGCGGAATTCCGGCGGTTGGTATATTCTTCACAAAATGCTTGTTTTGAGGCTAAGCCACAAACGGATGTCCGACGGTTAAGCCACAAACGGATGTCCGACGTCCCACCAAAAAATATTTTTTATTTTTATTGTAAGAACAGAAATGTCAGTCGAAGCAAAAACGTTCACGAACAAATCTAATGGCGAAACATTCACAAAAGGCACTTACAACGGTATTGAAGTCTTACGTAGAGACAAGGATGGTTATATAAATGCAACAAAGATGTGTCAGCAGTTTAGGAAAGACTTTAGAAGGTTGTTGGAAAATAAGTCCTGGGAAGAGTATTTTAAGGCATTTTGTGAAGAATATACCAACCCGCGGAATTCCGCGGGGTGCTTTTTATACAATGTTAATGCAGGAATTCCGGATGAAATCAAACAGGTTAGAGGAATGTATGTAGACCCAAGACTCGTAAACTATATAGCAATGTGGGCTTCTCCAAAATATTGTATAGCAGTTGGAAAAATTCTGGACTCCATAGACAAGAAAGTTCATGAGAAGTTAGATGAAGAAGAACTTGAAGATACAGTAGAGAATGCAAAACCTTTGTTTGAAGAAGAAGTTAGAAAAATGCATGAAAAACAAATAGAACATGAACGTGAGATATGTTCTGGTTATAGAGACTCGCCATACGAACTAGACCAATGGGAACAAGAAGATTTAAAGAGAGAATTTAGAGAATATGAACTCGCTAAGATAACATTAGAAGCTGCAGAAAAGAAGTTAAAAGTTTGGGGTCGTTTTGTACAAAAATATTGTGAGTAAATGAACCATTTTTTTCGACAAAAATAATGTTTATGTTAGAATGTTAGATCTAACATGTTTTCTAACATGTTTTCTAACATCGTAGAAAACTCTTGAATTTGTCAAGACTTCTTCGTAAATGTTTTGTCAAGACTTCTTCGTAAATGTTTTGTCGAAACTTCTTCGTAAATGTTTTGTCAAGACTTCTTCGTAAATGCTTTGTCAAGACTTCTTCATCGTAATGAGCGTAAAAGACCCAAAAATATAATTTATGTTAGAATGTTAGATCTAACATGTTTTCTAACACGTTTTCTAACATCGTAGAAAACTCTCGAAATTCATGAATTTTGACACTTTCACAAAAAACATAAAAAATAAAGTTAGTATTTTTAAAAAAATATTTTTTATTTTTATTGTAAGAACATGTTAGCAACTACAGCACCAAACTCGTTAGTCATGAATCCAACATCTATGTTGGTAGAGATGAAAAGCTTCATTCCTTCTTCATATACTTTCGAAACAGAAATCCAGAAGATAAAGCAAGAACTTCTCCAAGGAGATTTAGATTGCACTGCAAAAGATGAAACAAATGAACAGTATCTTTATGAAATGCAGGATATTATTGACCATCTACCTAAACTTCCTGAAATACAACAACAAAAGCTTACTATTCCTGAATTCGATGAAATAGAAGTCGGACTGACTGACTCGGTAGAAATAAAGAAGTTCATACGAAAGGTAAACTATGAGTTTCT